ACCTGTGCCACCCCTAGGACTCGCACCCTCCTCAACGCCAGCACCCCCAGAGTCCACGAGCGGCTGTAGCTGTGACGGCAGCGACGGTTGCTGCGGTGGCGGCGGCTGCTGCTGCTGCGGCTATGACGGCGGCTACGGCGGCTGCTGTGGCGGCGACTGCGATGGTGGAGGAGGAGACACCGAAGGAGAGGCAGGCGGCGAGAACGGTGCCGCGGGGCCACCAGAGTCAGCCAACTCCTCGACCGGGACAACCGACGGGAAGGAAGTGACGTGAGACACACCAGACGGAGCGGGACGGGGAGGGAGGTGAGCACGGGCTACCGGGGGAGTGGGAACCAGAAACAGGGAAGGGGAAACTGGGAGACCTCGGTGGGGAAAGCGGTGGTAGAAGGAGACAGACTCGTTGAAAGTAGCATCACGGGAGTGAAAGAAGCGGTGAGACTGCGAGTGGTAAAAGTGCCTGTTAGACGAGTCAAGGGGGAAACCGAGGAAAACACAGGGGACAGTGCGGGCAGTGAGCTTGTCCGTACTAGAGGCACGAACGTGAGCGAGGCAGCCCCACACGTGGAACGCAGACGTGTCACCATGGAACCCGGTCCAAAGAAGGGTCGGCGAAACATGCGGCGGTCAGAGGTTAAGCTGGTGAGCGGCGTGGCGAACGGCAAACGGCCACAGAAAATGGGGTACACCGGCATGGATCCTGGAGGTACAAGCCACCTCCATGACCAAACCGATGCGACGCTCAGTGACCCTATTCTGTTGCAGGGAGTCCGGTAGGGTGTACGACCAGGTGATGCCATCAGCACGACAGAACTGTCCAAGCCGACCAGAGGCGAACTCGCCGCCACGGTTGGAGTGGAGACACAGCACAGGGAGACCGCGGTGTAGGCGTGCAGCTACGACCCACGGGATAAGAACGTCAGGCACGTCGGCCTTCCTATTCAGGGGAAACACCATGATGTAGCGCATGTACTCGTCGACAAGCACAAGAAAGTAGTGCTCGCGACGAGGTCCGAGGACGGGGGCTGGGCCTCAGACGTCCAGGTGCAGGGTCTGGAGGGATGCGGTGGCAGGGCGAAGCGAGGAGGAGTAAGGAGCACGCCGCAGCCGGACCTCAACGCAGGGCGTGCACGGTGGAGCAGGCGAGGGAGGGAGGGGAGGAAGCGACGCAGGGAGACCTAGGACGAGACCGTGCTGGGACATGTGACGCAGATGCGGGAGTGCGGGGTGACCTTGGCGGTGGTGCCACAGGAGCGACCGACACGAGCAAGCAGCGGCGACTTGGGTAGACGCCGGGCTTAGGGAGGACGCCCTAACCAGGGGGGAAGCAGCGTCCAGCGTAAACAAGCCAGACACCGGGTCCCGGGGGAACGTCGCAAGGGGGGAACGTGAGGCGGCCTTGGTACAGACAGCGTACCGCTCGTGACCAGGGAACGTAGTGGTGACGCCGAGGTCCTGAAGACAGCCGACACCAACTAAGTTCATGGAGAACGAAGGGATGTGCAAGCGTGTAAGGGAACCCGAATGAACCGCTGGACAGGGAAGGGTAGTGTAGCTGCGAGCAACGACCGGACTAGAAGGGGGGTCAGCAAGTGAGACAGCGGGCGGTCGGGTGCGAGTGGCAGCACACAGTGCCACGGAGGGGCCTGGTCTAGAGCTGGTATTGGCAGCTCATAGCACCGAGGCCGTTGGTAGATGCCGAGCTGTGAGGGCCGCGGTGGGTCGCCACCGCGGCCACCACCTCCTTGGGCTCCTTGCGACCTCGGCGGGAGGCGGGCCCACGACTGCTGCTGCTGCTGCGACTGCTACTGCTGCTGCTACGACTGCTGCTGCTCTTGGACACCAGCTCCAACCCCCTCGTCAGAACCACTGTCCCCGCCACCACCACTAGCACCACCACCACGCCCTCCCTCGGGGCCGTGGCGGCCCCGAAGCTGTCGCTGCTGCAGGAAGGCCGCAGCTGCGGTCTCAGTGGCAGAGGTAGCTGTAGCAACCGTGGCGGAGACGTCAACGTACGTGCACTGGGAGGGAGCACAGCCTTGAAAGATAAGGACTGACGTAACACCGCTCGACTAAGCGATAGTGCGCTGGCGAGTCTCTATCTCAGACAGGGCTGTGACAAAGGCAGTCACGTTGAGGTCGCCAGGGTGCTGGCTAAGAAAATAGTGTCGGGCACTGGCTAAGCGGTCGGGCAGGCACATGGCACTAAGGTACAGGGTAGCGCTGAATGGTGGGGGGAAGGCAGTGAGCTAGGCGGCAGTGCTAGCATCGCGGTAGCTAGTCTCTAGTGCACGGAGGTGAATGGCGAGGTCAACGAAAGTGGGGAAAGCGGAAAGATTAGGGAATAGCATGGAGAGGATCAAGCGGCCAGCGGAGGCAGAGGTAGGGGTAGAGTAGCGCGCAACTACTGCATCTAGGAAGTCCTTGGCGTTTGCCACAGCAGTGAAGCGCAGACGCTCAGACATGGGAAGCGCATGATTAATGGCGAGCTGCGCTTTAGCATCGCGAGAATGCCAGACTGTGCGAGCGAGTGCAGTAGCAGAAAAGGCCTCACTCTCAGCAGTGGTGGGGTCAACAAGGAGGGGATTAGGCGCAGGGGGGCGGGGAAGCAAGCCATCAACATGCATAGCCAGGGAGTGCCCATCCTAGTGCTGACCTGTCAGGTGCCGGCGAAGATCGACAAGCCAGGCGGCGAAGTCGATCGCGTGCCCTTCCCTGTCCAGTCGAAGTACGACATCCGCCATCGTGCAACCTCGCGGTGCTGGTCTATGGCAGCACAGCGTCACGACAGTACAGCGTCACGGCAGCACAGTGGCACGGGGACACGTTGGCACAGCGGCATAGGTACTCAGCGGTACGGCGGCACAGCGGCGTGGCGGCATGACTCTTCGGCGGGAAAACTGGGCGAAAGGCTGAGGAGGGCCCCAAGGCGCGCAAGGCTCAAGGCGTGCAAAGCCGGCAAGGCACAAAGGGTCGGCGCTGTGCTAAGGGCCGGCGAGGCACGAAGGGCCGGCGGGCACGGGAGGGGCTGGCGAGGTACGCGAGGAGCCAGCGGGAGTGCGAAGGGCCGGCGAGCGTGAAGGGCCGTCGAGGCGCGCGAGGGGCCAGGCGGGTGCGCGAGGGGCCGGCAGGGTACGCAAGGGGCCGGCGAGTACACGAGGGGCCGGCGAGCATGCGAGGGGCCGGCTAGACACGAGGGGGCGGTGGGGCGTGAGGGGCTGGCTGGGCACGAGGGGCCGTTAAGGCGCGGTAAGACTAGGGTACGACGGGACGGTAGGCTAGGGCGAAGGACGGAAGCAGGTGGGCGAGGGGCGGAAGGGAGTTATAGGGTTGGAGTTGTACCTTCTAAGAACACACACCTATCTAGCCTATAACTTCTACGTACAAATATATGTATAAGTTGACAGCTACTACTGCTGCTGCTGTTGGCGCTGGCGCTTGCGCTGCTGCTGCTGCTGCCGTCGTCACTGGTTGTTGTCATACTGTTGTACTGTGGGTACTGTGCTTCCTCACCGCCATCCGTGCAGCCACCTGTATCAGTCGAGCCGACCCAGCCATATCTAGGGTACGGATTTCCCCATCCATTTCCGCTTGACCCGCCGCCCGACCCGTCGCTAGACCAATCAGTGCCGCTCGACCCGTCGCCCGACCCATCTTCAGACCAATTATCGCCTGACCCGTCGCCTGACTTGTCGCCTGACGAGTCACCGGATTCGCCCGTCCAGGGCTCCGTGCTTCCGCCTGTGTTAGTCGAACCGACGTAGCCCCATTCGGCATGAGGGCCTTCCCACCCGCTTCCCGAGTCATCGCCGCTCCATCCGCCGTCAGACCCGCCGTCCTCCTCGTCACCGTACAGGAGGTCGCTCTGTAGAAAGCGCCGCGTGCGACTCGGATTTGGAGTCGAGGGGGCGTCGGTAGCAGAACCAGGAGTACTGGTTGTAATATCGCCAACGATGCCTCCGACTCCCATGTACGTCGATGTGAGCCCGCGTACCGTGCGAGCCGGCGAGCCAGACGTGGCCTTCAACATGCGCGTCGCGTGGGTGGGCGCGACGGTCCAACTTGAAACCATGACGAGGAGAAGGAAAAATACCGCGAATCTTTTCATGGGGATAAGTATTATGAGCTGAGCTCAGCCAGTTGCTTAGTGCAGCAGATTTGGCCGCTGACTCTATTGTTTTTGTCTCAGCTGCTGGGTCGTATTATGGCTGCTTTACGAGCTACGAAATAGCCACTAAATGAAACGTGCCCTGATCTCGAATGTCTCAGAATGGCGAAAGTCTGCAGTAAGAGATCAGAGTCTAAAATGTTGTTGCTATGGTGAGGACAGACCCGAATTTTTGTGGGTCGTTTTGTACTGGAGTCAGGGACAGGAGAAGTCAGGATTGAGTGTTCTTGATGGGGATTGGAGAAACGAGGGACGGGACGGGGGGAGGGGAGGGGTCAGTGTTGGGGGCATGGGAGCATGAGGTAGAGGGAGGGGGCGAGGGAAGGAGAAGATTTCCCTTTCTGCTGTGCTGTGCTGACAGCAGAGCGAATTCCATCCATGCGACGATGACGAACTAGTGTTGTGGGAGACGGATTACTTGCGACGACGACGAATTCCAAATCTCTGGTTGATTTGCTCGCAGACCATCGCGGCTTGGGAAATTCATCCAGCACAGCTGGGAGCTCTAGGGGGATCGGCCGTGTTGACCGGCAAGACTTCGACGTCCTCCGTGTCCTACATGTCTGCCGTGTCGCACATCCTTGGGTGCAAGCGTGGCAGGTTTGAGGTGAGGTGGACAATGTCGCAGCGATTAGTCAGCTTCGCTTCCTCGTTAGGTGCAAGAATCCGTGTGCAAAGTAAAACCCCCAAGCAAATGCAAAAATACGACCTTAGAAATATCAATAATGCCTTTTCGAAGTAGTTCACTCCAAGGTTTTGCATAGAGGTTGTTGTTGATGTTTCATGCGTATAAAATTATGCGTAATGGATGATAAACGAAAGATAATAACCTAAAACCCCGCTATCCACATGAAGGAACTCTAGTACACATATAACAAGAATCATAATGGCTATCTTGTACACCCTCTACCACCCTCTCATACAACGTTTCTGCTGTTCATTTCCTCACTTGCAGCCCACTACGCAGTACTGATTATTCCCTGCAGCATACTTGCAGCCCCCAGTCTCTGGTGCATACCCAGGCAGAGCCGGCACAACCACAGCCGTCCCCCCAAAGAAGCAACTCCCAGGCACATGGGCCAGCTTCTGATAGTAATTATTAAACGCGTAAGAGGCATGCGCGGCGAGTGTATTCGGTTCGTAACACGCACCCCCAGGCTGGATTGCGGAGCAGTCAGCGCGACCAGCACCACACACCCATGAGAGGGCCGCCTGCACAGCACCTTGGTCCATGATGCAGTTAGAGGGAGGGGGAGGGGCGTTAGGCCCATCAGTAGGGGGGAGAGGGGCGGGAGAGCCTTCAATAGGAGGGACAGGGGTGGTAGAGCCGTCAGTACGGGGAAGAGGATTGGGAGAGCCTTCAATAGGAGCGACAGGGGTGGTAGAGCCGTCAGTAGGGGGAAGAGGGGTGGGAGAGCCTTCAATAGGAGGGACAGGGGTGGTAGAGCCATCAGTAGGGGGAAGAGGGGTGGGAGAGCCTTCAATAGGAGGGACAGGGGTGGTAGAGCCGTCAGTAGGGGGAAGCGGGGTGGTAGGTCCATTAGAGGGTGGAAGAGGAGTGGTGGGGACGCCAGATGGAGGGGGGGAAGTAGGGATGTCAGTGGGTGGAAGAGGGGGGCTGCCGGGTACATCTGGTGGCGGTTGAGCCGGGGACTTCACCACTGGAGGAGGAGAGCCTTTGGATGCACCATGAGAAGGCGTGGGGAGAGGAGAACCAGTGGAGACCCAGGTTGGGGTAAGGGAGGTGGAGCTCCCCTGGTCTGGGTAAAGAGGAACAATGGGCTCCTCGTCCGGGGGAGGGCTGGAAACAGCACTGCTTCTGCTGCTGCTGCTGCTGGCGCTACTGGCGCTACTGGCGCTGCTGCTGCCGTCGTCGCTGGTTGTTGTCACACTGCTATACTGCGGCGTCTCATCGGACGTCATCCCCGAGTACTGGTCGTTCCAATCACCCGAATCGCCTGAATAGCTCGAGTCGCTCGAGTAGCAATCGCTGCCGCCACACTCACTCGAGTCCGACCCCTCTTCTGACCAATCGTCCGACCCATCATCGCCACCGCCACCACTGCCGTCCCACGAGTCGTCCGTCCACCCACTTCTGCTACCATCATCGCTCCCGTCCGTTCCGGGATCCGCGCCGCTGATCACATCCGGCTCGTCCGATGATCCCCACCCCCACTTGCTCCACAGTTCGTCCCAGAAGCCGCCGCCGCCGTCCCCTCCGCTGTCCCCGCCGCTTCTGCCGTCCGTTATTGGGTCGTCCGTTAACGTCCAGTCGCCGTTCCAGGTCGATTCGTCACCGCGGCCGCCGTCCGTTGAAGAGTCGTCGCCCGGCGATTCGGGAGTCCAGGCCTCGCCAATTGTTCCCGATTTGGGAGTTTCCCACCCGCCCCCTGAGTCGTTGCCGCTCCCTCCGTCAGTTCCGCCATTATCATCCTCCTCGTAAAAGTAGTCGCTGGAGGAGAGAACTCGCCGCGTTCGAGCTGACGCTGGGTTGGTGGAAATAGAATCAGTCGTAGTATCACCGACGGTGCCGCCGCCTGTTCCCGTGTATATCGATGTGAGCCCTCTTCGCGTGCGACTGGCCGACACCTCCACGTCCCACGATGTCGCCGGCGACTCTGGCGACTCCGGCGACTCTGACGGGTCCGGCGCGTCCGACGTGGCCCTTAAAACGCGTGCTGCGTGGGTGGTCTGAATTACAGTCGCGAAACTCCAAGACGCGACGAGGAGAAGGAAAATTGGCGTGATGTTCTTCATAGGATGCGTGGCAGGACCTGAGTGCAACCGGATTCTTTGCGAAGTACTAAAAGTGCAGTTCCTGGATGTCGCTGGGTCTACGGTACAAGGAGCAAGTCCGACATACGGGTCGTATGCATGCGCGGATGATTCTCGTCGAAAGCTTGTAAAGGCCTGGTATGCGAAGTCTGGGGTAAGAACTCGTAGCCAAAATATGAAGGTACTCCGCTATGTTGAGGATGGAATAGGTACTGATGTGCGCCGTCTATGTACTGCGGGTGCACCGTCTTCCTGCTTCTGAGTGTGGGAAAAGAAACCGGGGAGGAGGGAGGAACGAGGGAAAAGGGACAAGGGGTGAGGGGTTTGTCAATGACGAGGAGTGAGGGATGAGAGTAGAGAGGCATTGGGCGAAATCCATCGTTGCGACGATGATGAGATTTGTCTGTGCGAGGCGGATTCGATCCTTGCGACTACGGCGAATTGGAAATCGCGAGGCGGATTCCTCGCGACAACGACGAACTTCGTGGCGGCTGTTGAATTGTTCGCAGACCCGGTATAACCTCACAGCGGTTCGGGAAATCTAATCAGCAGAGCAAGATGCTGGAGTGGAATTGGACGTGTTGACCGAAAAGACTTCAGAGTCCTCCGTGTCTTCCGTGTCTGCCGTGTCGTGCTTCTGCTGGTGCAACCCTGGTAGGTTTGGGGAGAGGTGTACGACGTGGCAGAGTCAACTCAGCTTCGCCTGCTTCGTTAGGGGGTACGAACGGGTATGGTATGTGACGAGTAAACCTTTTGCAAAACTGACCCTCATAAGATGAATTATGCAGGATGCCTATATGGATAAGTTTACTCGATGGAAATTTGCCTTTGCGTAAAGCATTTAAACAAAACGCAGTACCCTAAAACGCGAACAGCTTTTTTTTTAACCCGAGGTTTCTGTGCGGCCTCAAGCCTTACAGCTTCTTCAGAACAGCACAGCACAATTTAGGCCAGTATTTGCTATTAGTCTGTCAGCGTTCTCTAGCCGCCGCTATCGCCGTCTCCGTTGGTCCTGCCTGCCTTCTTCCGCGGCTGCCCCCCACTCAACCGAGATCGATTCGGAGAGCCACACTTCATAGCTCGAAGGCAGGCGAACAGGCGAGATTGACGATCGGGTAACGGGGAAGATTCGCTTATGGCGTTCGCACAGAACCCGCTGTCGCTAGCTTTTCCGCCGGAACAGGTCCACGCGTTACTCCAGGAGCAGGCGTTTCGACGAGAGCACGGGAACGGCGTCGATTCGCTAGATCCAACGGACGACGTTAGCCGATGGAGAGGAGGTCGAGAAGGGTCGTCCGGTGCTGGAAACGCGCCTCCTTATAACGGATCTCGGCGATCCGCTACAGCAGCGCCATCCAGTCGTATATCGATGCTAACTGTAGAGGATCTTAAGAAACCGCCTCTATCGTGGACAGATTTGTTCTTCGGCTGGGGACAAATACGGTCAGCGTATTCTTTTCCGGGCAGCTGGCGGGAAATGGGAAGACGCGTGGACTCTAATTTCGTGGAGTTTCTGGGGAACTACCTCCGGGTCCTCCTTTTCTTCCTAGTCTGCGTCATGTACGTCCGTCTCTCACCTGACTTTCCCGTTCGCTCACCGTGGTTACGCAGTTTGGTTGTGAGACGTCTCTAAACTACCTCCGGGTCCTCCTATTCTTCCTAGTCCGCGTCATGTCCGTCTCTCACCTGTTGAAGCGAAAGTGTGTGACAATAAACCGAGGTGACTTCTGAGTCCACTCAAGAAAGTGTGTGACAATAAACCGATGTGACCTTTGACTCGACTCAAAAACTACCTCCGGGCCCTCCTATTCTTCCTAGTCTGGGTCATGTACGTCTCACCTGACTTGCCCGTTCGCTCACCTGTTGAGGAGTCTCACATGCCTTTCCGGTTCGCTCACCTGTTGAGGAGTCTCACATGCCTTTCCGGTTCGCTCACCTGTTGAGGAGTCTCACATGCCTTTCCGGTTCGCTCACCTGTTGAGGAGTCTCACATGCCTTTCCGGTTCGCTCGCCTGACTATTTTTAGGGTTCGCTCACCCCACTCGCGTCATTTTTAGTGTTCGCTCACCCCACTCGCCTCATTTCTAAGATTCGCTCACCCCACTCGCCTCATTTTTAGGGTTCGCTCACCCCACTCGCCTCATTTTTAGGGTTCGCTCACCCCACTCGCCTCCTGACGCTCAGAGTCAGCCGCATATGTCCCCCACTTACCGGTGTGCTTCTAGTCGACTTTAAACACGCCTGACACGCAATACCAGCCGCACATATCCCCCACTTTCTCCAGCTCCCCCCTCCCTGCTCTCCAGCTCCCCCCTCCCTGCGCTCCAGCTCCCCCCTCCCTGCTCTCCATGTCCCCCCTTCCAATGCCGTGTCTCCCGCGTATCCCTGGCGTATACCTCTTTCGCCTACCTGAACCCCCCATACCCCCTCCCCTTACTTGTCCCTCATTCCCCCCTCTATCCCCCTCCAGTCCTTCCCCCACCACATCCCTCACTCCCCTTCCCTGCCATATCATCTGTCTTTGTCCTCCCGCCACCCACCCTTTCCCTCGCTCGCAGGTACAAGCGACCAGTGGCGTGTGCTGGGCTAGCAGCAGCACAGGTGCGACTATGCCACGAGCTGCATTTTTCAAGGCGCCTCAGAGATTTTTTCGTGCCGTCCCCCCTTTCCTCGCTGGCTCGCAGTTACAAGCGACCCGCGGTGTGCGCGGGGTTGGTGGGCATGGTCCGACTATGGCACGAGCTCAGCAAGTGCAACGCTGTCCAAAGTATGCCCTTCTGCCGTCTGTTCCCCGCTCCTCGCCCTTTTGCAGGTACAAGCGGCCAGTGGCGTGCGCGGGGTTGGTAGCCATGGTCCGGCTATGGCACGAGCTCAGGAAATGCAACGTGGCGCTTCGAGTGCACAAGGACAGCTGGCGCCTGCATGCAGGCCGGTTCCTCTTGCAACTAAGTCCGTTCCTAGTGTGTGTGCGCGTGTGTGTGTGTGCGCGTGTGTGTGTGCGCGCGTGTGTGTGTGTGTGCGTGTGTGTGTGTGTGTGCGCGTGTTTGTGTGTGCGCATGTGTGTGTGCGCGCGTGTGTGTGTGTGCGCGTGTGTGTGTGCGCGCGTGTGTGTGTGTGCGTGTGCGTGTGTGTGTGTGTGCGCGTGTTTGTGTGTGCGCGTGTGTGTGTGTGTGCGCGCGTGTGTGTGTGTGCGTGTGGGTGTGTGTGTGCGTGTGTGTGTGTGTGTGTGCGCACGTGTGTGTGTGTGTGTGCGTGCGTGTGTGTGTGTGTGTGCGTGCGCGTGCGCGAGCGCGTGCGTCTGTGTGTGTGTGTGTGTGTTCGTGTGTGTGTGTGTGGAGAACAGGGGGGAGTAGGGAGGGGGGGTTATGGGTTATCGGTTGTGTTGTGAGCCTCTTCCTTTGCATACCACGCCCACCTTTCTCTCCCCGTATACCCCTCTTCTATTCTTCCTTCTCCCTCTGCCCAGTGCTGTGGATGGTGGCTTCTGGATTCAATCAAGTTTTGAGACGTCTCAACTTCTCTCTCCCCATGCACCCCTTGTCTATTCTTCCTTCTTCCTCCGTCCAGTGCTGTGGGTGGTGGCGTTCTGTTTCAGAGTCGTTCCAGCTCTCACCCTCGCTCTCAGCCTTGCCTTATTTGGTGAGCCCTCAACCTTGTCTAATTTGGTATGTCTTTGACCTTACCTACTTTGGTCGTAAGCCCTCAGCAGCTCTCTTGTGTATTCATGACCTTGTGTCTATCCACTCATGCCACGCCGCCCATTTGTCGGCAGCCTGTTCTCCCATTGTAATCTCTTATTCCCCTCTGTTCTTCGCTGTCCTTGCAGTCATTCTGGCTCACAGCTCGCTTCGCCATCCGCCACCCATGCAGCCTCAGCAACCCCCCAGCCGCAGTGGCAGCATCAGGCAGCAGCGAGGGAGATGATAGCAGAGAGCAGAGAGCAGAGAGCAGAGATGGCATAGATAGCAGAGAGAGCAGAGAGAGTAGAGATTGCAGGGAGCAGAGAGAGCAGGAACTGCATGTCATTGGAATTTATTGCATTGAAAATTGATGCAGTGTGTTGTGTAGCTGTTCTACTGGTATGCCTGGAGCTGACGAGGTGAAAAATGGAATTAAATGCAGAATTGTGAATGCAGAAGGCCTTGAATTAGAAACTGAATTGTACTTGAACACAATAATGAAGGCTACTACTAGAAGAAGCACCATTCAAAACACAATAATGAAGGTGGCTATAAGTAGTACAAGCCCACCTTGTGCCAGCTGCTCCCTCTTGAACTTCCTGAACCACCGAAGCAGTGGCATATTCTTCCCCGCCTGTCCCCCTTCATTACAAGAACCCTCTTTTGCCAACCCCTCCCCACTATAATCTCCAGCACAGCCGAAGTGTTTGAGGTCCCCAGAACCGCACTCCACCACTCGGCACCTACTGACATGCTTACCCCTCACGGGGGTTTCTAGTGTGGAAGGAACGGAGTTCTCCAAGCGCACGCACCCTATTGCAGCCCTCGCACAAGGACCGGATTCTAGGGTCATCCTCATCCTCTGTTTAGGGCCACATGGTTGCTCACGTGGGTCTGTTGCTGCTGTACATGCGCTGCGTGCTTTGCATGCCCCACCCGCCTCGCATGCCCCACCCGAATCACATGTCCCACCCACCTCACATGCCCCACCCGCCTCACATGCCCCACCCCCCTCACATGCCCCACCCGCCTCACATGCCCCACCCGCCTCACATGCCCCACCCGCCTCACATGCCCCACCCGCCTCGCATGCCCCACCTGAATTGCACACGCCTGCTGCTCCACACGCCCAGCTGGGCTGGCATCGCTCTGCTGGCTCGCACGCCTGTGCTTCTTGGCAACCCAGTGGAGGTCGGCATGCTTGGGGAGGCGCACATGCACACTGCCGGTCCTGCCGGCATGTCTGGTCCTGCTGTTGGTTAGCCTGCGTCTTGTGTGGCCGTTTTGCGTGTTGAGGCAGAGGCGACCCTACTGCCAGCCTGCCCCCGCCAGGCAACGCCCCTTCCGACCTCCTCCCCTGGGTAGTGACCGAGGCGGATTCTGAGTCGGCACCAGCTACTCTTGCCACCTCTACAGGTGCCCTTGCTGCCGTGGGTCTGCTGGCCCTTCCTTCCCATCGACGGCTGCCATCGCCTCTGCTCACAACTTCTGCTGCTGTATGTGACACCAACGGAGCAACTCCCCCTCGTGCTCCTCTTCCTGCTGCTCCAGCTCCTCCTTCTCCTCCTTCTCCTGCTGCTGCTGCTGCTGCTACTTCGGCTGCTCCTGATGATGCTGCTGCTGCTGTCCACGTCCCTTCGGCTGTCTGTGCGCCTGCCTGTGCGCCCAGCTGCCAAGTGAGAGCTCGCCTTGGGAGGCCCAGTTGGCCGAGTGTGATGACAGCAGCGTTGGCAACGAGCGGGCGCACATCGCGAACAGTGAGGGCAGTGGGGGTGTCCTGGATGTGGGCGAAGGAAGAGGGGGTGGGCGGGTGTGGGGAAGAGGGTGTAAACGTAAGCCTTAGGCGGCTTAGTTGGTCAAGGGTGATGACAGCAGCGTTGGCGACGAGGGGGCGCACGTCACGAACAGTGAGGACTGTGGGGGTGTCGTGGATGTGGGCGAAGGAGAGAGGTCTGGGTGGGGAGAGAGGGGGGGGTGGGGGGAGAGGGCGCACAGCGCGAACGGTGGGGGCTGTGGGGGTGTGCTGGACCACGTGGAGGGAAGAGGGAAGAAGTGTTGTGGGCGAAGGAGAGGGGGGGGTGGGGGTGGGGTGGGGGGAGAGGCTGCACGTCACGAGCGGTGAGGGCTGTGGGGGTATGCTGGAACCACGTGGAGGGGAAGAGTGGACGTGAGAAGGAGCGGAGACAAGGTTTCAAGAAAGCGTGTGCTGGGGGGGGGCGGGGCGGGTGACCGAGGGTAGAGGGGAGCAAGACTGGCAATGAGGGAGGCACATGTCACGAATGGTGAGATCAGTTGGGGGGTGCCCAGAATGGGAAGGCGGGGAAGGGGGATCGAGAGGGGAAGGGGTGACAAGTTGCCATGTCCCCCTCTCCCCCCCTCCCCTTTCATATTCACTCATCGCAGAGGGGTGGCTGGATTTAACAATAAATTTTATGGGGAAACTAGATAAACGAAAGACTTCTTACCACAGAGGGGTGCACCGCATTAGAGAGGAGAGCCACGAAGGTGTTTCGATCAGGGTCTATCCATAGGGACGTGCCTGGTGGTGGGTGTTTGCAGGTGGAATGGGCGAGTGAGTGCAAAATGGGTTTTGAGTCGATTAATAGAGCAGAGCCACAAAGGTGTTCCGATCAGCGTCTATCCATAGGGACGTGCCTGGTGGTGGGTATTTTGCAGGTGGAATGGGCGAATGAGTGCAAAATGGGGTTTGAGTCGACTTAACAGAGCAGAGCCACAGGGTGTTCCGATCAGGGTCTATCCATAGGGACGCGCCTGGTGGTGGGTGTTTTGCGGGCAGAAGGCGTTTGAGGGCAGGAAGGGCGTTCGAGGGCAGGAAGGAAGTTTGCGGGCAGAATGGGTTTGAACTAGACAAAAAAGTCGCGAGTAGGTTCCATCCACGTGATGCAGTTCCGTCCACAAGATATGCCTGCAGGTGACGCAACTGGCACACCACATCTTACCAGTAAAGCCCGTGTGACCAAAGGTGCGCGGGCCCATGAATCGACCTGCCGATGTGTATCCATCCTTGCCCCTTCTGATTGCCACGTCCCAACTGAGAGACGGGGGGGGAGGGGGTGGGGGCGGAGACAGAGGAGAAGAAGCGGGAGGGGGGAGAAAAATAGAGGGAGAGTAGGGAAGAGGCCCCACGAATCGACCTGCCGATGTGTATCCATCCTTGCCCCTTCTGATTGCCACGTCCCAACTGAATGGGGGAGCGGGAGGGGAGGGAGGGAGGGAGAGAAGAAGGGAGGGTAAGAGAGATAGGAAGAGTGAATATCCCATGAAGCGACCTGCCGATGTGTATCCATCCTTCCCGCGCCTGATTGCCACATCCCAACTGAGAGAGACCGGGGAGTGGGGAGGGAGACAGGGTGAAAATGGCATGAGTCATATGGCGTGAGGTAGGAGTGAGACTCAAAAGAGAAAGATAGTGGGGAGGGAGAAGGGGTGAAAAACCGAGGAGAAAGTGGGTATCCTAAGGCAGAGTTGTGGCGAATCCAGAAGAGTGGAGAAAAAACACAAAATTATGAGACCCGGTGGCTCAGCATAGAGGTAACTCCATCAGGAACAAGGTGGGCAATCCAGCAACGAGTGGTGGTTACCCGAGGGCAAAGGGTCGCGGGTTGTGGTCGGTGGGGGGAGGTGGCGTGGTGAAGAGACGGAGAGTGCTTGACGAAACTAACTGGTGCCCTGTCACTGGGTCAGTGCCTCCTGCTAGCATGCAGCGAGCAAACTGAAAGGGATGGAGAGAGGAGGGGAGAAGGGGTGGGGGGGGGAGATGTGGCATGAAGTATGCAACGAGCAAACTGCATACGACAGCCTCGAACAAGTCATTGGGACCATGCCTCCTGAATTTATGCAGTGAGCAAACTGCACTCAAGGGGGACGAGCGCGAAGAAGCACACAGAAGTAGGCGGTCGTGGTGGCATGTCATCCCAAGAATGGAAGAATACCAGAATCATCTCATGCACTTTATTCCAAGTACATTAGATTGAAGGGCGTTTTTTAGAATTCTCAAAAACGCCCCGGAAAACCAGAACCATCTTGTGCAACTTATTCCGAAAACAATTGAGCGGAATACTGACACTGAAAACAACCCACAACCTCACAATCCCCCCTTCAATACCCCACGCACACATGCTCCCCATCTTCCCCCTCTCTCTCGCACACACATACAACACACACCTTGGTGACATCGATGATGGTAGAGAACAGGCCAGCATGGTCACACACACACACACACACACACACACACACACGCCCGCCCGCGTGCCCGCACGCACACACGCACACAGAAACACACTAACACACACGACCCCAGTCACAAACACATGACCCCAGTCACAAACACATGACCCCAGTCACAAACACATGACCCCAGTCACAAACACATGACCCCAGTCACAAACACATGACCCTAGTCACACATACATGATCCCCCCCCTGACACATACCCCCCCTCCCCCCCGCACACACATGCAGCACACACCTTGGTGACATCGAGGATGGTAGAGAACAGCCCAGCATGGCCCGCCGCGCCCCCCATGATCCATGCCGTGGGGTCGTGCACTGGAGGGGAATCGGGGGGGTTGTGGGGGGGTTTGTGGGGGGGTGGGTAGCATAAGGGGGGAAGATGAGCATGGGGAGGGGGGGTAGGCATGGGGAGACAAAGAAGACTGTCGCTCCCTCTCACCTTCAACCCGCACTAGCTTCTTGCGATGCAGCGAGGCAACATTTGTGTGAGGCACCACATGCCAGTCAACGTTTTCTACACTCACTCAATCTCTTTACAGCCACAAACCCCAAACCTCCCATTTCTCCCTACATCTCCTATCTCACCCTCATCCCTCTCCCTCACCCCTCTCCCTCACCTCTCCCCCTCACCCTTCCCCTTCACCTCTCTCCCCCTCTCACCTTCCCCCCACAGCAGCTTCTTGCGATGCAGCGAGTCAACCTCTGTTGGGACCACCTGGGGATCCACCTGAGTGTTCCTCTCCCACACGGCTTCCCCAGGCATTGGTGAGTCCTTCACAGGATTGGTCCACTCAGAAGAATCCTGCGCAGGGATTGGTCGGAACGCCGTGCTCGCCATGCCAAGCGGGCTGAATATCTCCCGGTGAACGAAGGCGCTGAGATGGCAGCCGGTGATTCGCTCGATGACGAGCGCCAGCACGATCATGGAGAGGTCGCTGTAACGAGTCGTGACTACAGGGGGGTACCACAGGTGGTCGGCCATTATGAAATCAATCACCTGGTGTTGAGTCACATGAGTGAAAGAGGGGGGAATCATTCCAGTGTGATTCCAGCATGCACATTGTGACTATAAGGGGGGCACCGCAGGTGGTCCGCCATTATGAAATTATTCTGCATGAGTTATGTTGTAGGCGATTTTTTAGAATTCTAAAAAATGAAATGTTGGGGGGTGGGAGGATACATGAGAACAGGTGGAAAGATTATAAAGAGGTCGCTGTAGCGCGTAGTTGTGACTATAGGGGGATACCGGAGGCGATAGGCCATCATGAAATGAAATCAATCACCTGCGATTCGGGACGGGGAACAAATTTCAGTTCCCATTATGGCAAGGGTATGATTGGTGATTGGTGATTGGTGATTGGTGGTTGGTGATTGGCGCGACTGTAAGGGGATGCCACAAACACAGTAATGCCGTGTAAATACTCAGAGAATCCCACCTGCTGTCTGGAGGTGAGCTGGAGGCGAAGAAGGGGTGGAACTCCCTCAGCCCAGCAGTGTGCGTCAGCCAGCAGGCAGTATGCGCACAGTCATTAAGTGCTTGCCGTTAACCCAAAGGGTTTCGGACCCACTCAAAAGCAAACCCCCTGAACCCAGCAGTGCTCACCGTCAACAGCTTGCGCACAGGCACAAAGGGAGAGTAAGAGGGGAGGCCCACCTGCTGCCGTGTGGAGAGCTGGAGGGCGAAGAAGGGGTGGAACTCCCTCAGCCCAGCCGTGTGTGTCAGCAGCATGCGCACCGCCACAACGTGCTTGCCGTTGGCGCCAAATGCTGGGAGGTAGCGATGCACAGGGGCGTCGAGGTCTGAAGATGAAAAGGCGGGGATGGGGGAGAGGAGGCGAGGGGGAAAGCGAGTTCATTTTTTAGGCGCCTCAAAAATAGGGGGCGAGGGGGACAGCGAGTTCAGGACAATCCAAGACTCGACAGTAGATGAGCACAGTCGCTATATGCTTTCAATTGGCGTCAATGACTCGAGAAAGAAAACACAGTGAGATGGGGTGGGGGGGGGGGGCTTGGGGGCTTACCGAGCAGTCCCTTCTCGTACAGAAACATGGCAGCGGGAACAGTGGCCATTATCTGCAGGAAGACGAACATGCGCGCACACAACAGAGGTGAATTCTTAGTCAACTCAGAGACAAGCTTCTAGGAAATCATGGCAGCGGGAACAGTGGCCATTATCTGCAGACACGCACACAGGTGCGCACACAACAACCTGATAAGAGTCTACTTTTGAGGCGCCTCAAATCAACAGACGAGGTAGCTGTCGGGGCTAGTGGAGCTGCCAACAAGCAGGCACAGTTTAAGGAGACTCAGAAGCAGATTCTTGGCAGCAATGCGGTGGCCACTATCTGTACACGCACAGGCGCACAGCCCACAAGATAGCACGATAAAAAAACGCATGCTGGCACTCCACTCCACCTTCGCGCAGTTGCGTTGCCAAAGTGTCACTCTAGTAGCTTTCTCAGCTCACCTTCCGATTATTCATCCTTGAGCTCATATCACCCCTCCCCCCCCTCACCTTGGTAAGTGAGGCGAGGTCCCAGAGAGAGTGTGATGTTACAGGTCGGTTGCAATCACTGGGGGATAATGAGGGGTGAGAGAAGAGACAAGGGGGGTGATACTAAAGAAGGGACGTTGACAGAAACAGACCGAGCGAGTGGAAGGAAGCAGAGGTGGAACAGAAAATGAAATATTAGGAGGAATACATCAGAAAAGAAACCAGCGTTTTCCGAAGGTTTGGGAGGGATATACGGTGAAGGGCAGAACAAGAAGGAGACATAAAGGATTGGTCTTGAGGTAAAATATGTGCCGAAGGCTGGGTTGGTAAATTAGAATTCTCGAAAACCAACTTACATGAAGGATTGGTCTTAAGGTAAAAGAACTTACTAGGTGTATGTGCCGAAGGCTGAGTTGGTCGAGTCCAAATCCGGTGTAAAATCCGGTGTTAAGTCCGGTGTCGTATGTCAATGGACCATGTGCCATGGAACCAAGCATGCACGTGGAAAGGCCATGTGCCAGCCACAGGAGGAAAAGCAAGGAAGAAACGGATGAAGAATCGATCAGAGTGGTTGCGTGTATGTGATTCACGTGTATGTGATTCACGTGTATGTGATTCACGTGTATGTGATTCACGCGTGTATGTGATTCACGTGTATGTGATTCAATGACATTGATGGGTGGATCGGGTGGGAGGGTTGGTTGAAGGTGGTAAACAGCGGAGTAACTTAATGCATAAGCTGGTCCATAGAGGTGATTGCAGTGGTTGCACTCACAGGCGTGGAACACGGGGCCCTCGGATGAGCCGAAGGCCACCGCTCCTCCTGGGAATGCTTGCTCCGCAATAGCCTGCACGGTTTACAACGAGGATGTTGTGAGGAATGACGAACTAAGAGACAGCGAAGAATCAGAAACTAGGAGCTTATGGCTCCAAACATTAATCATGTATGAGTGAGGAAGCTTAAGGAAAGGGAAATTCTTTCAAAACGGTCCGGAAAAGAACGTTTTTTTACGGGCATATGAGATGTGAACCATACTCGATTCATGATGTCACCAATGGTTAGATGCTCCTCCCTCTCCCACTCCTCCTCTTCCTCCTGTTCTTCCCCTTCTCCCCCCTCCCCTCTCCCGTCCTCTCCACCTCTCCTCCCACCAGTCCCCCTTGCCGCCTCCGCTACCGTTCTCCCCTCCTTCCGCGTAGTTTCGCGTTTCTTCTCCTCGTCTGCCACGTCATCCTCGAGGATTTCCTCCACAGCCTCGGCGTCCGGCTCCAACCGAACCTCCTTTTCCAGATGGTGCGACGCTCCTGGCGCCGCCATCCGCGCAACTCTCGGTCTTATTAGTTTTTCGACAATGCTAATACACTGCCTCCAGCCGAACCTCCTTCTCTGGATGGTGCGACGCTCCTGGTGTGGCCATGCGATATAGCTTCGTGAAGAGAAGAAATTCCTCTTTCGATCCTGACTACTTTGACCGGACTCCGACGTTAGCTGGTAGTACGGATACCCTTCAAAAAGAACCGAGTTATGAACACTAAAAAACGTCGCCAAACAGTGTGGCGAATAAACGAGTGGTGATCAGCGTCGTCGAAGCTTAGTGCTCTGCGCGCTGCTCTACTTCAGCTGAGCAGCCTTGACTGTCATGCTTCTCCGAAAAATTTGCCTGTTGATCATCCCCATCGAATCTTGGTGCTCTGCTTTCCTCACTGGCTCGACTAGCCTCCTGATGTCGTTAGTTCTCAAACATCTGGCAACCTTGGAATCTCCGACAACGACGAAACACATCCGCCCTGGGAGCACGATCAACTTGTAATTCAACCCAACAACGAATGCTAGAGAGGGAAATGTACCTAATTTAGCTAATCATGCCAACTTATCTTTTGCATTTTTGGGTTGCGTAGCAACCTTCTAAATTTGGTTTCATGTTTTCGTGCGCCAAGGTGTCCCAGAACTTTAGGGTTACTACACGTGTAAAATGGTTGAATATTAATATTTTACACTCGTATAATGTTGTTATAATACGACCCTTATGCTGTATATTTTATATATGTTTTGCCTGTCAACAGTCCGTCGATGAATACGGCGGACGAATGGTTTCAAAACATACACTCTGTCGCATTTTTGTGACACAAAATCAACCACGTACAAACGCGTACGAATGTACAATGATGCCGTGAATGCAATGAAGCCATGCACGAATGCTTCCGTGCTGCAAGCGTGGTTGACATGTACGTTTTGGAAGCAAAGCTTTCCAAGCCGACAACGAAAACCACAATTTGCATGTTGCACTTAGCATATATGCACCACTCCAATACAAACATGACATTACAAAATGCACGACCACAAAACAATACGCACAGTGTGCAAACGTAGAATGCCGCCATGAATACAATGAAGTGATACACGAATGCTTTCGTGCTGGAAGTGAGATTGACATGTACATTTCGGAAGCAACGCTTTCCAAACCGACAACGACAACCATATTTTGCGTACTGCACTTGGCATATGTGCACCACTCCAGTACAAACATGACACCACGATAACAGCAACGATTCAAACCATGCAATCCACATACTCACGAAAGAAAAGAAAGAAAGAAAGAAAAAAAAAAAAAAAAAAAAAAAAAAAAAAAAAAACACGCATACACATATGATAAGGGAGGAGGGCGAAAGAAAAGGGAAATAATAAGGGGGGAACCAAGAAGAGGACAAAGAAGATAGGGACCACACATCATGGGTGTACAAACACAACACACAAGAGAACTCTGAGAGAAATATGAAAGCCCAAATGTGCTGATCACTCTGTTACTACTGGTTGCAATGAAGCACACCCCCCCCCCTCTTCTCCTCCTCTCCTTCCCTACTCTTTCTCCCCCCCTTCCAATTACAGCTTATCCCCTAAACCTCTCTCCCCCCCCCACTCTTTGTCTTGGCAATGCACAAATGCAGTTACCAGTCGTCTACATAGACCTGCACGCAACGGCGATAGGAAACAAACAGAATTTAGGGTTTAGAAAACCTATTGCAATAGTTGAACACTAAATGCGCTTGCAATAAGTGCACTAATTTTGCCAAATGATTAGTGGACAACGAACAAATGGGCTACCATAAGGAACGATTTCGGCCAGCGCGCTAACAGCTGGTTCGCCGATGCCTAGTGCACGGATGGCGAGTGCGCAGCCAACTAGTGTGTGGACGGCTATTACGTGGGTGGCCAATGCACCGATGACTAGTATGCGGATGGCTAAAGCACAGATAGCTGGTGCGCATACAACTAGTGTGCGGACGGCTAGTGTGCCGAAGGCTAGTGTGCCGACAGCTAGTGCACACATAGCTAGGTGCTGCTAGGTGTTGCTAGGTGCTGCTAGGTGTTGCTAGGCGCTGCTAGGTGCTGCTAGATGTTGCAAGGTGCTGCTAGGTGCTGCTAGGTGCTGCTTGGTGTTGCTAGGTGTTGCTAGGTGTTGCTAGGTATTGCTAGGTGCTGCTAGGTGCTGCTAGGTGCTGCTAGGTGCTGCTAGGTGTTGCTATGTGTTGCTCGGTGTTGCTAGGTGCTGCCGCTGGCACGTCTCTCTCAGACGGCAAGCTGCTAGGCGTCTAGATTCTACACAAAGCGGCAATAGGAAGGGTGACAAGAGAGACAGGTGACCAGAAGGGAATTGTTGACGTGAGGAAAAGGAAGGCGACAGTAAGAACAATCGAAACGCACAGCAGTGACATTTCACACCATCTGGTGATACCTAGTAACGCACAAGCGAGAGACTCACCAGCCAAATAATCAACTGCTAGACTTGGGGCGCAGCGTTCTTCTGAGTGCCATAACCAGCTGAATTCTGCAAGCAACATGAGGCAATGAGTCACACGGGTGTCATCAGTAGCTGATCTGCCAGAAGAGAGGGGGCCTCACTATCACTCAGCACCAACGAAGCACGTCGCTTGCCACGCCATCAGCCCGTTCCGCCATCGAGCGCGGTGCCTGTGCGCAGGATCATCGCATGCCTTGCACCAACGCGCGCGCTGCTTGTGCTCCTAGTGCACAGCAGGGCGTCAGAGTGGGTGACGCCAGCGCGCCTAGAGCCAGTGCGCTACGCCAGCCCGCTAGGCGTTTGCGCGCTTAGCGCTGCTGACCGCAGCGCCAGCGTGCCTAGAGCCAGCGTGGCGCCAACGCGCCTGCGCCAGCGAGCGTGGTGCCAGCACGCTAGCGCAAGCCAGCGCAGCGCTTGCGCCCCTAGAGCCAGCGCGCGCCAACCAGCGTGGTGCATGCGCGCCTAGCGCTAGCGTGCTAGCGCCAACCAGCACGGCGCTTGCGACCCTAGCACCAGCGCGTGCCAGTCAGCGCGGCGTCAGCGCCCTGGCGCCAGCGCGCTAGCGCAAGTCAGCGCGGCGCTTGCACCCCTAGAGCCAGCGCGCGCCGGCCAGCGCGGCACCTGCGCGCCTAGGCGTGGCGTCAGCGCGCTAGCGCCAGTCAGCGGGGCGCCTGCGCGCCTTGCGCCAGCAAGTGCGGCGCCAGCGCGCTTGCAGCAGGAAGCGCGGCGCGTGGGCCCCTAGTGCCAACGAGCGGCGATTCTAAATGGTAAGGATGATCTAAGAATGGCGACCTAACTATGACTGCCTACTAAGAACGAATTACGGGCGAAGAGAAGCAAGATTGGGAGCGAGTTGGGTGGAGCAAGAAGTTGGTTTGGGTGTATCAAGATTGCCTAGCCAAGGGCACCACCACCAACCCCTTAGGGCGTGTCTAGCGCGTACGTTTACAGTTCACTTTATACGGTTCAATATGGTTTGCAGAGGTTCAACGTGGTTAAGCGCGAAAACCGCTCCCGATCGCGATATATCCTACTGAACCGTGATCCGTGTACCGTAAACGTATGCGCTGGACACGCCCTTACCGAGTCAGCAGAGTTCGCTCAAACCAAGTCAGCAACTCTTCCGAAAGCCCTAATTGTCTCATATAGAGAAAAATCTACCCGCTAAACTGTATCCTAGTGAATATGATAATACAATACTTCCCGTGGTGACCAGTGTTCACTCTGTCAAACATGTTTAGTTATCATGCTTGTATAGACTGTATAGGGTCATCTTCTAGAGAGTACAACTGTTAGGTATATGTTTGTGTACTCTCTCTCTCTATTCATCAATTTCACTGTTTGATATGGTATCACGCGTAGGTAGGATCCCCCCCCCCCCTCACGCTTCCGCTCGCCCCCTAGCTGGGCCCCGTCGTGCTCCTAGCCCCGTCGCGACCCTCCCTAGCCCCGTCGCGACCCTCCCTAGCCCCGTCGCGCCCCTTTCAGGGCTTCGTAGCGCCCCTCCAGGCCCCGTCGCGCCCCTTCCAGGGCCTGGTAGCGCCCCTCCAGGGCCCCGTCGCGCTCCTCCCAGGCCCCGTAGCGCCCCTCCTGGGCCCCATTGCGCTCCTCCCAGGCCCCGTCGCGCCCCTCCCTAGCCCAGTCGCGCTCCTCCCAGGCCCCGTAGCGCCCCTCCTGGGCCCCTTTGCGCTCCTCCCAGGCCCCGTCGCGCCCCTTCCCGGGCTTCGTAGCGCCCCTCCAGGCCCCGTCGCGCCCCTTTCAGGGCTTCGTAGCGCCCCTCCAGGCCCCGTCGCGCCCCTTCCAGGGCCTGGTAGCGCCCCTCCAGGGCCCCGTCGCGCTCCTCCCAGGCCCCGTAGCGCCCCTCCTGGGCCCCATTGCGCTCCTCCCAGGCCCCGTCGCGCCCCTCCCTAGCCCAGTCGCGCTCCTCCCAGGCCCCGTAGCGCCCCTACCTGGGCTTGGTAACGCCCCTCCAGGCCCCGTCGCGCCCCTACCCATCCCCGTCGCCCCTGCTCGGCCCCGTCGCCCCTGCTCGGCCCCGTCGCCCCTGCTCGGCCCGTCGCCCCTGCTCGGCCCCGTCGCCCCTGCTCGGCCCCGTCGCGGCCTATCGGCCGCGTGGCGCCCGCCCGGCCCCTGTCGCGGCTGCCCGGCCCCTGTCGCACCTGCCCGGCCCCTGCTCGCCCGCCCGGCCCCGTCGCCCCTGCCCGGCCCTGCTGTGGCCTGCCCGGGCCCCGTCCCTGCCGCCCGGCCCCGTCGCAGCCGCCCGGCCCCGTCGCAGCCGCCCGGCCACGTCGCAGCCGCCCGGCCACCTCGCAGCCGCCCGGCCCCGTCGCCCCTGCCCGGCCCTGCTGTGTCCGGCCCGGCCTCGTCCCTGCCGCCCGGCCCCGTCGCAGCCGCCCGGCCCCGTCGCAGCCGCCCGGCCACGTCGCAGCCGCCCGGCCTTGTCGCTGCCGCCCGGCCCCGTCGCCGCCGCCCGGCCCCGTCGCAGCCGCCCGGCCCCGTCGCCGCCGCCCGGCCTTGTCGTGCCTGCCCGGCCCCGACGCACCTGCCCCGGCCCTCCATACTTCCTGGTACTGTCCCCCGTTCCCCGCACCACTTTGCACCCTCCTGCACTTTCCTGCCCCGCCTTGCATCGCATTGCACCTCCCTGGATCGCACTAACCGCACTGCACCGCACTGGACCGCACTGCACCGCACTGGACCGCACTGCACCGCTCTGCATCGCACTGCACCGCACTGCACTGTCCTCCACTGCCCCTCATGGCTGCTGAGCTTCGTTTTGATGTTGAGGGTCAGCCTCTGGAGTTCGAGGCGTGGTTGGCTGACCTTCGCCGCCACCTCACTGGCCAGCGGCAGGACGGCCACCC